CTCGGATTTGTTTGGATCCCAACTCGAGCGCCAGTATTTTGATCAAATGTTCAGTACCTGCTTTGGCGGTACTGTAGGCCAACTCCACGGCCACCTAATAATAAAATAATGAAAACATTAATATATTAAACATTTATATATTATTGGTTTGACATACCGGTGCCACACCAGCAATAGTGGCCACATTAGTGATCGAGCCGTTAGTTTGCTCGAGCAATGGGACGGCCTGTTGGATGAGTTCAGCCGTGGATCTCAAGTCATTTTGGAAGGTCTGGTCCCAACTGGCCATAAGGTTGGGGTCCGTTATGTTCAACAATGCATAGCTGTTCGCGAAGTTTACCAAAACATCTAACTTTCCAAAGGTTTGTACGGTTTGTGTGAACAGGTTCTGGATATCAGCCGTTTTGGTCAAATCCGCGACAACTGGCAACGGCTACGTAAGCAAAGTAAATATAAATCTTATTAGAAGAATAATTAAAATCACAAAAAATTAATAATTTATTTCTCACCTTAAGATTTGTAGGGGAATAACTTTGGACAGATTGAGCCAGCTGATTTATGTAGGTGCCATTAGTACCGGTGATGACCAGGCTAGCTCCTAATATGGAAAACAGTTTGATTGTACCCTCAGCCAAGCCTGAGTTGGTAACTGTAACCAAAACTACTTTTCTCGTAAAGTCCCGCGAGTTTCGGACGCCGTAGTACTGGGCGTCAGCCGGATCAGTCAACTCTATAGTATTGCAATATTTGTAATTAAAGAAATTGTAATTACTTTTAATTTAAGGACTACTTACGCGATGGCCCGGTATGTGGCACATAAGGAATATGGGGAATGGGGAAATGGGGTATATGATGGGGTATGTGTGGCATATTATGGTGAAACAGATTGTCAGCTCCTCCCAACACGGTATGAGCTATACCACCGGCCAGACCTGTTTTGGCATCAACAGCCTTTCCAGCTATATCCAGACCAGCGTGTGCTGCATGACTGGCAACACCCAGTGCTTTCTGGACAA